CCCCCCCCCCAATGTTTGGAGATAAAAGATGGATCTGGGCAGATTTGAAGCTGCAAATTCCGCCAGTGAAGTGACCACAGTGTTTCCCAATCTGGGTACCGGGGACTCCCAGGGGGTCTCGTTAGTGAATTGCGAGGGGCACTTAAGTAGACATGAAAATGAAAGCCTGATCTTTTAACGTGCTACTAGTGATGATTTAGAGCAGAGTGTGAGGATCTGTGTGAATCTGTTTGAAACCACACGTATACTGGTGTTAACACACACACACACACACACACAGAGCAGTGTAAACAAGTGCTACAACTCTTGTTACAGGTTGTGGCTTCAGACAAAGTGCTCTGTATTACAGCTAAAAATTTTACAAAATGGTGGATCATGTTAATATGTAGCTATGGTAAGGACTTCCATGGAACCCCCCCCCCCCCCCACAAAAAAAAAAAAAAAAAAAAAAAACTAAACAAGTCACGTTTTGTCAGCTCATGTTCTTGGGGGTGTCCCATCTCAGTGAATTGAGTCATTCAGCTCAAGCACAAGATTTTCTTTTTAACAAGACCACTGTGGGCTAACCCTGTGCTCTACCCCATGGTCTGTGCTGCTCCATGGACTGTAACAGGACCACATTAAAGACTAGCAAAGTAGTCTCAGTCTAGTACTTAGCTGCAGGTTAAAGTGTTCAACATATTCATTAGTCAAGATACAAGACTGCAGTAGTGTTAAATGTATTTATATATATATATATATATCTATATATATATATATATATATCTCAAAAACGCTCCAGTGTGCAGAATTTTATTTTTTATTTTTCAACAGCATTGGTTCATTGGGAAAAAGTGAGACATGGTTTTAATTGTTGTGCAAGCTTGCAACATAAACGTGTCACAGGCTTTGCACAATCCTGCTTAATGTGTACGATGACCTAGTGCTGGCAGTCAATTAAATATGATTTGTTGAGGACATTTGTCATTTGTATTGCACATTTCTGTTTTTGCAAGCACAACCGCTAAGTGCTTACAATACAACACTCAAGGTCTTCCATGTGGCATGCCTAAGTGTAAGGATATCTGGCGTGGGTGGATGATCTCGCAATGAGATATTTGCAAGCGGTTGCAGAACCCCAAACTTCAGATATTATTACAGAGTACTCGAGGTAGATGGATAAGTAGGTGAAGCTGATGTCATTTTCCAATAATAGGTTATGAGATTGAAGTACAGAAATGAAACAAAATACAGTTTGTCCACCATGAAGCCTTAACAATTTAAATTTAGTGATAGAAGTAACCATCTTCTTACTTTAAGAGTGAAATACTGTCTGAGCCATCGACTGTACCATCCACCCAAGCCGTAAATGAGGTGAAACCAATGCAAATGAGTGGTTCTTTTGTTAATGAAATGTATTTGTTTACACAAAACTACTATAGTTGACAGTAACTGAATACTCAATCATTAAACATGTCACTGGTTTCTCAAGAGCCTCAGGCATTCCTGGCTAATGCTTCATTGACTATTAAATCAGGTTGGATACATTGTCTCGCGAAAACTCTGGACACCATTTGAAGACACTTTTCTGCACTGTAATATTAAGCTACTTTGGAATAATGTGCATGAAGCGTTTGTTCCCTATTCGGCAATGTGGGACGTGTTGGAAGTTGTTTGAGTCCAGGCCAGTCTGCAGCAGACCTGTGGTTTTCTCATACCAGCTTTTTGGCATAGAGGTGTAAGAGTTCCTCATTTAAGACTTGGTATGCAGTCATTAAGGCCTGGCGGGACTTAATGATTTCAAGTGACTTATGTGAAATAATGTCAAGTCAATAGAAATTCACGCACGTGACCCAAGGCAGCATAAAATGCATTCGTTCTGAGGTTTAGTGACGGTTCATATTATTTTCAGTGCAACTAGCCAAATAACCTATATCAGAGCGGGCAGCAAAATGATCACCTTAACCAGACTAACATTAATTTGCTAGTTGTTCCAATAAATGATTGAGGTCTTTTACGCTTGCTGGAAGAGTGTTTGGTCACTACGTATTATTACCGACTTGTTTTGTATTGATTTCTTTTTGAACACTTTGTTTTACCTAGAGGTTTATTACTCATTCTTCTCATGTCTTTGTCACATTGAAATCAATACAAAAGACGGTAATATAACAGTGTTAAGCCCAGAGGATTTGCCCTGAAATTGAATTCATACATGTGAAAGCACTGGTGTCCCTTTTAATAATAGCAATGTTTCCACAGAGCAAACATGTCCTTTGCTATTTTTTCTTTTGGTGGACAAAATTGAGCAATTTCACTGTAAGGCATAGAGCTGGCATAGCTTTCATTCCAGCTCAGTACCTTTTCAAAGGCAGTTCCTCTCAATCTGATTACCTTTTTTTTTTTTTTTTTAAGTAGTAATTTGTTTTAATCATTATAAGGGTGATAGGATCCTTGTTATAGCATGGCAGATAGATTTTATACAGTCTGACAGACCATAGCTTGTGAAGTGACTGAACACGAGAGCAACGCCACTTGAGGAAATTCCCATTTCCTTATTCAACAGTATGATGTCCTTGATAACTCAGCTGCTGGTATGTAATGTTTTTAAAGGACAGCAACTGACTGTAAAAGTTACTAATGTACGTGAAGGCACTGGGCTTTGGCTCAGATTTGTTTTGCGTTAACTGTGACCAGCCTTTCACCTTTTTAAAAATCTGTTGTGCCTCAGACTATATACCAAAGAAACACTGTGCAAGAAGAGCATTAAAAGTGTTTGTTTTGAGGTCCAGGGCATTAGATTAGTCCAGGACAAGGGGATTATGTTGGCTTTGTAAGGCTGCCGTCATGTCGTGGCCACACACCAGCTGATAGCAAACTCAGAAAGGATTTAACCTATATCCTCAAAGGTAGCTGGTCATTTGAAGGCTTACGGTGCCTTTTATTTTCAAACCACTTGAATTAAGCCTTTTTTACAGGTGCACATATATCCACATATTCAATTATACTCCTGGGTTTTACATTAGCAATGAAATGGATCATGAGGAATGAGACGCATATGGATTCCAGTTCCCTTTGTGAAGTGGCGAGTGCTTTAATGCAGTTAGTGTCAATAGGCAGGTTGTGATTAGATGAAAATCTTTGTACTTTAAAACATACATGCAGCGTTTCTACAAGGTTAAGATTCTTTTGAAGCGATCCACTCTGAGTGATGGGGGGATGGGCTTATTGAAGCACTGCAGGGAAGCTCTAACATGGAACGCTTGAATGCCTTCAGAAAAACAGCATTACCTACATGACCTGACCTCCAAATTGTAGTCAGTAATTGTTAATGCAATATAGCACTTGGTTAAAATAGCTACTTACCTACCTACCATAGTGCATACTGTGTTCCATTGGAACAGCTAACCTGCAGAGGTGCAGCTTTCGCTATTTCCTTTGCATGTGCACACAGTTGAAAAGGAGTGAGAGAGACACCTGGGACTTCATTTCACACTTCTAGCATGAAGAGAAAGTAGCATAGGCTTTGGTAACCCAATATGTTCTGATGGCATATTTAAATCCTTTTTTTGGGGGGACAACAACTTAAGAAAACGGTTGATTGTTTATATTTTTAGCCTGTGCCGCTGTGTGTTGCACACTTGGCTACCTGTGAATTTTGACTATGCTGTATCTGCTTGTAACAGCTGACTAGGTCTGCAGTGAGTTCAGACTTTGATTAAACAGTTCCTGTAATCAATCAAGTGCTCCGTGGAGTGTCCTGTCTTGTTTTCGTAGCTTGTGGAAAGAAAGGTGGGTGGACGGTTCAGAAGTGCTTATGTAATTTCCATCATCTTTCGATATGAACATGACTGTCGAGATTATAATGTAAACGGCCGCGGCAAGGCTTAAAACCTGCTATACACCTGAAAACTGCGAAATATTACTGAAATGCGTAATTATGTAATGCAATTATTAAAATGGTGGGGTTTTTTGTGTTTTTGTTTATTTTTTTATTTGCTTGTTCAAGCATAGTAAATGCAGGACAATGGAAACTGACAGTCAGAATAGATGACAATATTTATTGAGCCATCCATTGTGTGGGTGGGCTAGGGAAGCTTGTAGTGGGGGGAAAATGTACCTCATCTGGCCCCCAAAATAGATTTTATATATGAAAACTGATTGTGTGGATGTTGCCGCCGTCTGTATTTCCTGAGGCTACCATTTTGTTGACAAAGTTGAGGATGTGACAATTGTCGTGCGGGCTGTAATGTTGTATCAGAATATGCAGCTCTGCTTCAGGTTTTGCAGCTTTGATTGGATTTCTCACTTGTGAATTGCCCATTACAGCGGGGGAGGGGGGCGGGGGGCACTTTGAATGCTTGTTGCACAGCTGCTGTTTTGCCAGAAACCAGTGATCCATCTTTTCCTGGGATGTGAGCCCAGGTTACACTCAAGTCTCCCCCACACAGGCTATAAAGATATTGTCAGCTTTTGTGGCGCAGCACAGACTTGAGTGCTGCAGAAATGCTGTCTCATTTGCTTTTGGTTTGAAGTATCGTCCCGTGTGATTGTAGAAAGGAAAGCCACA